GAGACTAGAACACACAGTTGTGTTATTTTTCACCAGTGATGTTAGCTTGCCTTGTTTCAGGTATGGAATAGGCATAGATTTGTATTTACCCAGAATTTAGGTTTAACCAGGGGAATACAGATAGAGGGAGAGACAGGACTCAGGCAGTTGAGGGTGGATGCGAAGGAGTGATTTCAGTGATGGATTGTGGGTACTAAACTGGGGAAGGAGAGGCATGAGGATCCAAGGAGGTGAAGGACAGTAAAATGGCAGCATAGTCCATGGCTTGGTCCCAGCCAAGAAAGGACACTTAGGGGGTGAGCTGGAAAGATATGAGATGGTGACTGGGAAGTGGAGTGCTTGAAATGTGGACTGTGGAGCAAATGCAGTTATTGGCAATATCTTGGTATGGGGCCATGATTCCGCTCCCAACTATACACTAGCAGGGTGCTTTAAAAATATGCTTGGGAGGCACTTGGGTAGCTCAGTCAGTTAAGCATCAGACTTTGGCCAGGTCATGATCTCAGGGTTGGTGAGTTTGAGCCCACATCTGGCTCTGTGCTGACAGCTCAGAGCCTGGAGCCTGGAGCTTGGATTCTGTGTCTCTCTCTCTTCCTGCCCCTCCCCAACTCGTGCTCTGTCTCTCCCAAAAATAAATAAACATTAAAAAAACTTAAAAGATATGCTTGGGACAGAGATTGGACATTAGTATTTTTTAAGTTTCCCAGGTGATTCTTTTTTTTTTTTTTAAGTTTATTTAATTTGAGAGAGAGCATGAGTGACGGAAGGGCAGAGAGAGAGGGAGAGACAGAGAATCCCAAGCAGGCTCCACACTGTCAGCGTGGAGCCCGACATGGGTCTCAAATGCATAAACTGTTGAGATTGTGACCTGAGCCGAAATCAAGAGTTGAATGCTTAACTGACTGAGCCACCCAAGCACCCCTTTCCCAGGTGATTCTGATATGCAGGTCAAGTTGAGAACTCTTGGTCTAGGACCGGGTAGCTGACATGGGGTAGAAGACAAGGAGAAAAGGAGGTCATGGAACAGAGAGGCCAGGGTGTTGGGTCATTTTCAGTATTCACACCAAGAATTACGCTAGGAGTTATGTTGTGAAGGCAATGTGCTCAATCTCCATGGAATGACGAGGTGACGTCGGGGCTCCTAGATGACTATGATAAGGAGAGGTTGGTATGCTACTGATGAGGTTTTGGGGTGATGGTAGGGTGGTCTGGAGCTGATGGCCAAGAAGGAAGTCTTGAAGACGTCTTTGGTGCAAAAGGTGATTTTATTAAAGCTTGGGGACAGGATCCGTGGGCAGAAAGAGCTGCACTGGGGTTGTGAAGAATGGCTGGTTTTATAGTATGGAGTTTGGGAGGAGGCCTCCAGAGGGACTTTGACATGCTAAAGCAGACTCCTAAGGTACCTGAGGCCTTGCTATCGTCAAGCCAAGGTTGTTTTCCCTCTAAGTAAGGCATTAACATTAGGACAGTAAGGGTTTCCTGGAGAAATGTTATACTCTGTATTTGCCTCAAGTATTTGTCAATGGGCTGCAGGTTATAAGGAATGTAATTTTACCTGCCATTTCCTTCTTGGCTTTGTTTCCCACATCACTATTGAGGGGTGATGTTGGGGCTCCAGGAAATGGAGTCTATAGGTTTCTGGAGATTAGGCTGTGGATAAGATTGCCTTTTTCTTGCAATTTACTAAGATATTTGTAAACCCATGTCCTATAAGACTGTGATCTCTGTCAGCTGGCCATTTCCTTTGTCCTTAGGCAGCCAGGAGTGCCTAAGGAATATCACCCACGTCCCACCTGGGGAGGAGGGTGTGCTAGCTTGCATTTTGTCCTTAGCCCACCTCATGCTCTCTCATCCCTATCATTCGATGGTGTGAGCTTCAAAAGATCTTAAGGTTTTCGAATATGGAGGGAGGGACAGTGGTCTGGAGATGGCAGTGAAGCACAAGGAAGATCCTACTCACCTCCGACCCAGAGGTGTCAGGGTTATGGGGTAAGGGAAGCAGGGTGTTCAGGGGAGAGCCAGGTCTCAATTAAAGCAACAGGTCCAACTTGCTGAAGATTTGCAAAACTGTATTCTTCCCTTCTTTCCCTAAGTTCCAGATGTATCTGTCTAACCCAGATATTCCCCCATGGATGCTATGGGGCTGCCCCAAACACAGTAAAATCCAAACTGAACCCCTCATTGTCCCAGTACCTGCTTTTTCTCCTGTGTTCCCTGCCTCAGTTTATTCCACTGTCATCTACCAAATCAATGGACCCACAATCTGTGTCATTTTGAATCTTCTCTTTCCCTTCTCTCCCCTCCCCCATGTGGTCACTGCATGCTGTTAGCTTTACGTCTCTGCTTTAATTCATGACATCTCTCATCCTGTCCCCCTCTCTTCCTGCCTTTCATCTTGCCTCTCTTAAATCCTTCCCCTGCATTGCCCTCTGAGGGAGCTTTTAAAAGTCAGATCTGACCATGTACTCCCCCTCCTTAAGAGTCTAGCTGCTTAAAGAACAAAGTCCAAGAGGGATACCTCGGTGGCTTAGTTGGTTAAGCATCCAACTTCGGCTCAGGTCAATCTCAAGTTTGGTGAGTTCGAGCCCCGTGTCAGGCTCCGTGCTGACAGCGCGAAGCCTGAAGCCTGCTTCGGATTCTGTGTCTCCGTCTCTCTCTGCCCTTCCCTCACTCGTGCTCTGTCTGTCTCTCTCTCAAAAATAAACATGAAAAAAAATTCTTTTAAATCTTGCTCAAAGATCACTCTTCTGTGAAATACTTTTCTGAACTCCTAGAGAGAATTCATTACTTTCCTGTCTATACTTCTTCATCACTTTGAAATTTGCATGTGTTACATTACATTGTATGAATTTGTTCACATGTCTTTCTGTCCTGCTAAACTTAACTTCTTGAGGGAGGAAACCGGTGTCTTGGTAATGATGGACCTTGTTAACGCAGTGTTGGGCATTCAGATGAACGTCTGTGTTGGTGAAATCGGATCATGAGAGGGGAAGGGGAGTGTGCTAATTCTTACTTTTCTGGTGGAGAAATAGTTAACAATTGGTTTTTCCAACGACTAACACTGGACCCATTTTACTTAATGTTTTTGTAGATAATTGAGAAGAAAGGTAAAGTATAACACCAGGCCGGTGAGGATAGATGGCCAGAAGGTTCCACAACCCCTGAGGAGGGAGCAGGAAACTGGCATCTCAGCCCCAGTGTGACCAATGAGAACTAAAATAATCTAACATATGTATATAGTGATGAGCCACGAGCTGCTGCTTTTATTCTAGGAAACCGCTTTGGACTCACTATAGATTATGAAGAGTGTTAGGCATTATCGGACGGGAACTAGAAACCAGAGAAAATCTCCACCCTTATGTAGAATGATGTCGGGTTCTCACCTGCGGTTCAGCTTGCCATACCTTTGGCAACACCTTGGAAGAGACCAAGCCCAGCTAGGTATCCCGAGAAGGTCCCAGAGAAAAGGAGTTACTCCAGTGTGGAAAGAAAACACAGAAGCCTGGCCTGCTTCATCAGTAAGGACACCAAGGACTTGGTGTTTGTGTTTATTGACGATGGTGACAAAAATGGCTGATATTTATGAGCCCTTACCATGTCCCAGGTGCCGTGCTTTAGGTGTTACTTCATTTCATTCTTACCGTGATCCTTTAAGGTGGGAACTATTATCATCCGTATTTTACATACGAGTAAAGTAAGGCGCAGAGAAGTTACGTGAGATGTCCAAGGTCACACGGCTGGTAAGTGGTACAGCTGGGGCCTGAACCCAGGCTTCAGTGCCTGGAAAGCTTGAGTCACTAGTGCCTTCCTATGTGACGTGATATGGCCAAGGTCTACAAAAAGTCCTGAAGGGCGTGGATAGAGGGGACACATCTTGGAATACTGTAGTAAGGGTAACTCGGGAAACTTGAACAGTTTTTATACCTGGGGATTAATTGTGTTGCCAACCATAATGGTTGTACAAGTAAGATGGGGAAAAAAAGTTGGAAAACGATTTAAGTGAATCCCTGGATAGTTGATGATTTCAGGTAGATAGAGTTAATACGAATTCTAGTTTACGGTCTGTGTCATAGCACACCATTTCTGCACATGCCTGGAAGCTGTTCTTAGGAGCTCCTGTCAAAGAGAGCGTGGATCCTAGGGGAGAGAGAGACAGAGAGAGACAGAGAGAGAGAACATGGATCCTGATCCAGGGGTGTGATCCATCAATAACAGAGGTTTCCAAACTTTTGGGGGTCATGAGATCAATCGAGGAGGTCTGTGTTAGTCAGTTCAGGCTGCCACAGCAGAATACGACAGACTGAGTGGCTTAAACAACAGAAATTTGTTTTCTCACAGTTCTGGAGGCTCAGAGCCCAAGATCAAGGTGCTTGCAGGGTTTTTTTCTTCCTGGCTGGCGGACAGCTGCCTTCTTGCTGGTCCTCACGTGGCCTTCCCTCTGTGCATGAACAGAGAGAGAGTGAGATCTCTGGTGTCTCTTCCTCTAATTATAAGGACACCAGTCCTATCAGGGTAGGGCTCCACCCTTAAGACCTCATTTAACCTTAATTGCCTCCCTATCTCCAAATATAATCACACTGTAGTTTAGGGCTTCAATGTATGAATTGGGGGGGATGCAATACGGTTCATAACAAAGTCTCAATCAGCGTTGTCTTAAAATGAAATCAAACAGATTGACTGTTATTTTGGGAAGCTTTTCCACTTGTCCACTGGAAGACACCACTGAGGTGGTGATGTAAGCTGTATCTCTAACTGAGCCACAGAGGTTGAAAGCCAGTAAGAACTGTATGGCATTCCTTGCCATCCTTTACCCTCCGGCTGATGGGGAGCCAGACAAAGACTTGGAATTTGCAGTGTCTTGCCGTTGGCTGGTGGTAGAGTTGATGTCCTCCCTCTCAATCTGGGCTGGAGGAATTCCCCAGCTCCTGATCACCTGTCGGAGGGTGGCTAGTGTCATTGTTGCTTACAGTGCAGCTAAATCAACCCATTTGGTTCCCCAGGTGATGTGCTGGTGGTCCCCATCAAGCTCCACAAGTGTCCTTTCTGCCCTTACACTGCCAAACAGAAGGGCATCCTTAAGCGGCACATCCGCTCACACACAGGCGAGCGGCCCTACCCCTGCGAGACGTGCGGCAAGCGGTTCACTCGACAGGAGCACCTGCGGAGTCATGCCCTAAGCGTAAGTGTCTGGACTGGCAGGTCTCCTGTGGTGAGGGCAGCGGGGGACACGGGGGAGGGGGTTCCCGACATCTGTCTGAAGTAAGGGTAAACCAGCCTGTCTTTTGGGGCGCCTAGGTGGCTCAGTCAGTTAAGTGTTCAACTCTTGATTTCGGCTCGGGTCATGATCTCACAGTTCGTGAGTTTGAGCCCTGCATCAGGCTCTGAGCTGATAGTGTAGAGCCTGCCTGGGATTCTCTCTCTCTTTCTTTCTCTCTCTCTCTCTCTCTCTCTCTCTCTCTGCCCCTCCCCTGCTGGCTCTGTCTCTGTTTCTCTCTAAAAAAACAAAAACAAAAAACAACAAACAAACAAACAAAACCTTAAAAAACGAACAAAACAGTTTGTCTTCTGTGTCTTTGTCCACTGGACTATTTTCAGAGAATTTTAAACATATGTTTCTACTAAATTAAAGCTGGGTTGGTAGCACTTAGAGAAAGTTAAAACTTATATGATTACAGACCAGTTTTCTTAGACTCAAGAAAGTTTAGATCCTAGTTAGGGATGGTTGTCATAAGGCAGAGAACAGCGGGGCTTGGACAGGGGATTGTGGGTCTGTTCTCACCAGTGTGATACTAAAGGTGAGAAAGCTGTATCCTCAGTTTCCCACCTAATGCCAGTACCTGGACATAGGGAAAGGACATGCTGCCCTTCATAAGGCCAACTGTGGGCAGCAAACAGGGCTCCAGACCAAGGTGACCTCCCCTCCCACTGGCTACTCCCTGGGAGCCCATCTCCCAGGTGAGTGGTTAATTCCCACCAGCTAAAAGGCATTCAGGCCATTTAGGAAGGCATGTATTTAAGATCATCTTTGAGCAAGGCAATCAGTCTTTGGGAAATCAAACATAAAAATGGGTTTGGACTTCAAAGGACACTATCAAGCATGTGACAACCCACAGAAAGGGAGAAAATACTTGTGAACCATTTATCTGCTAAAAATCTAGTAACCAGAATATATAAAGAACACTTTCAATTTAACAATAAAAAACAAATAACCAGATTAAACAATGGATGTGAAGAGACATTTCTCCAAAGAAGAGATACAAATGGCCAATAAGAACATGAAAAGGTGCTCAACATCATTAGTCATTAGGGAAATGCAAATCAGAGCCACAGTAAGATACCACTTCAAATATACTAGAATTGTTATCATCAAAAAAAAAAAAAAAAAAGTGTTGGCAAGGATGTGGAGGAATTGGAATGTTCAAACACTGTGGATAGGAATGTAAAATGGTGTAACCAATGTGCAAAACAATTTGGTGGTTCTTTAAAAAGTTAAGCATAAAATTGCCATAGGTCCCAGCAATTCTACATCAAGGTATATACCCAAGAGAACTGAAAGCATGCATTCACACAAAAAAGTACATGCCCACAAATGTTCACAACAGCATTATTCACAGTAGCCAAAAAGTGAAAACAACCCAAGTGTCCATCAACTGATGAATGAATAAAGAAATTGTGGTCTATCCATACAATGGACCCTTATTCAGCCATAAAATGGAATGAAGTTCTGATACAGCTACAACATGGATGAACCTTAAAAGCATTATGCTGCTTGAAAGAGGCCAGTCACAAAAGGCCACGTATTATATGATTTCATTTATATGAAATATACAAAATGTGCGGACTCATGCATATAGAGTAGATTAGTGGTTAGTAGGGGCTAGAGGGGTGTCGGATGGTAGCAGGGTGACAGTTTATGGGCACACGGTTTCTTTCTGGGGTGAGGAAAATGTTCTGGAATTAGCGGTGCCTGGGTGGCTCTGTTAGTTGGGCATCGACTTCAGTTCAGGTCATGGTTTGTGAGTTCGAGCCCCGCATTGGGCTCTCTGCTGTTAGCACAGAGCCCGGTTTGGATCCTCTGCCTACCCCATCCCTCTGCCCATCCCACCTGCCCTTCCCCAGCTCATGCTCTCTCTCTCAAAAATAAATAAACATTAAAAAAGTGTTCTGGAATTAGATGGTGGTGATAGTTGCACAACCTTGTGAGTGTACTAAAACCCATTGAATTGTTTGCTTTAAAAAGGTGAATTTCGGGGCAACTGGGTGGCTCAGTTGGTTGAGTGTCTGACTCTTAACTTTGACTCAGGTCATGATCCTAGGGTCATAGGATCGAGTCCCACGTTGGGATCCGTGCTGTGCATGGAGCCTGATTAAGATTCTTTTTCACTCTCCCTCTGCCCTCTCCTCTGCTCCTCTCTCTCTCTCTCAGGAAAAAAAAAAAAAAAAAAGGTGAATTTTATAGAATGTGAATTATGGGTTTGAAAGAATCCAGACTTAAGATAAGTACAAAGTTACTGACTGCCTCTGCTCTCAGGGCTGGCCCCAGCACACTTGTCTGAAAGTAGCTTCATTCCATGGTCTTAAGTTTTTGTTTGTCTTTTTTCCTCCTCAATTTATATCTCCAGTCTGTGTTGGCAGCAACAGGTCCCTGGAGCCCCTAAGATGTTTCATTGATTGGAATCCTCATTCCCTCTGTCTTTCCACATTATACAAAGTCCAGTCTACTGCAGCCTAAAGACGTGGTATTCAAAGGCACCATCAGGTTGCAAAGGTCATGTACATATTCTGGTTAGCTCAAGTGCTGTGGGGTGGGTGTAGGAAGCCCAGAAGACCCCATGGAAGACAGGGACATTGGCCAGGATGTAGTGGCAGCTCCAGCAAGCTGGGTATAGTGCTGTTGGCCCTTGTCCTCCACCATTTCTCTCTGTCTCTCCCTCTTGTGTCCATCCTGCATCCAGAGTCTCTACAGGAGAGGCTTTGGTTCACAGAGCTCCTTTAGGCTGGAGCTCCTGAATAGCGCACACATTAGACAGTCCCTTATATGGAGGGGGCCCCTGGGGCTGCTGCCCTGAGGAGTTGCTGCATGGGGTAGGAGATCAGGTTCCTTTTTCTAGTATGCAAAGCGCTTCTCCTAGGTAAGGAATGTATTTATCAATGAAGAGTTAAGAATGAGACATCTGCCACATATGGAGAAGATACCATCTAACAAGTCTGCCTCCCTAATAACTAGATAGTCCCAGGTACAGAAAAAGCCATGCTTAAAATCCCCATCAGTTTCCTGAATGCTCTTTATATGCTAGACATAGGGATATAGTAACAAACGTGACAGAGAACATGAATGAGAATGGTCCCTGCCTTCTTGGAGCTTATAGTCTAGTGAATTTACCAATAATTTGTTAGAAAATCAACAAAGGAAGGAGTATAGGTGGGAATATATAGCTGGGGACCTAACCTGACCCAGAGCATCAGCGAAGAGTTCCTTCAAAGGTATTAGTAGTAGCGGAGGCCTTGGCAATGGGGGGTGGGCACGTTCCTCGCATATCCAATGGCCTTGGGGTGGAAACACCTTCGTGAGGCTGAGGCTGTGGCAGAGAGAGCAAGCAGGAGAACGTTTACTGTGTCTGCTTATAATTTTAGGTCCATAGATCCAACCGTCCAATCATCTGCAAGGGCTGCAGAAGAACCTTTACGAGTCACCTGTCCCAGGGACTGCGGCGCTTCGGGCTGTGTGACAGCTGCACCTGTGTTACAGACACACACGATGATGAAGACGATTTGATGCCCATCAATCTTAGCCTGGTGGAGGCCTCGTCCGAAAGCCAAGAAAAGAGTGACACAGACAATGACTGGCCAATCTATGTGGAGTCTGGTGAGGAAAATGACCCCGCTGGAGATGATTCTGATGGCAGACAGCAGATTCGGCCCAACTTGTCAGATCAAGAGACACTTACGTAGCGGAAAATTCTGGGGGTGGGTAGGGGGAGAGGTTTTAGAATTTGTTGTTGCTCATTCTATGTTCGAAAGCCACCATCTGTCCAATTTTATGGAAACCCGAGAGGAACATGTTTTCACTGTTACTATCGTTACATTTTTGTTACATTACACGGGGAAGGTTGGATTTTGTGACTCAAAGGACTGATGACTTCTTAGTGGAATGCCCTTGCTTTCTGAGGGCTTTGTTGAGTTAATTCTGAGTGAATTAATGCTTGCCCCAAGGCTTCCCATTTTTCCTGTTGTGCACCCAAACTCTGGTTAGGAGAAAGACAAGAAAGTCCCCATGCTTGAGACATTTAATTGTCTCATTCCTCTAGATTCCTTTTTTTTTGTCAGCTTTTTTCTCTGGAAATGTAGGCAAAAATATTTTGACATAAGTCTTACCTTTGCCAAGCTTCTCCTGATGGATTCCATATTTTAATTTTCTGGTGAAGTATTTTTTTTTTTAACATTTATTTATTTTTGAGAGACAGAAGGACAGAGCACGAGTGGGGGAGGGGCAGAGAGAGAGGTAGACACAGAATCCGAAGCAGGCTCCAGGCTCCGAGCTGTCAGCACAGAGCCCCACATGGGGCTTGAACCCATGAACCGAAGTTGGACACTTAAACAACTGAGCCACCCAGGAGCCCCTCTGGTGAAGTCTCAAAGACAAAGCTTCACTGATACAAGGCAGGCAGGGCTGTTTGGCTCCATGAGTGTAAAGATACTTCTAAGACTTCAGTTTTAATGGCTGGGAGTATTTATGTGCACGCAAGCATGGAAATGAGCTGAGAGACTCCTGGGCACTCTGACTTGCCCAGCTAAATTCAACTTTAAGTTAGTCCTGAGAAAGGAGACTGTGAGCCCAAGTCTGGGTGGTTTCCCTGTTTAGTTTGGGATCTGACCGGTCTGCACACACAGATAACCTGTTTTGTGATCATAAAACAAGTCATTTGGATGAAACTCAAACCCCTTCCCTGTGTTTTCCTGCCATTTTCAAGAGCCGCTGCTGTGTAATGTGGAAATGTAGCCCCTGCTGACGGCCTTCTACTTCGATTATGAATAGAACTTTAATTGGAGGGAAAGTGTGAGCCTGTATAAACAAGTTATATTTCTAAATCGTTTGCCTTTTAAAGTTTATTTATTTATTTTGAGAGAGAGAGAGAGAGAGAGAGAGAGAGAGAGAGAGAGAGAGAGAGAGAAAGTGAGTAGAGGGAAGGGGCAGAGAAAGAGGGGAGAAAGGATCCCAAGCAGGCTCCGGGATATTAGCCCAGAGCCTGATGCAGGGCTCGATCTCACAAACCATGGGATCATTACCTGCGCTGAGATCAAGAGTCAGACACATCTTTTACCTTTTAAAAGATCCTCTGGAGGGAAAGAGAAGATTGGTAGAAGAACATGTTTTTAAAATCTTTGCAGCAAACACAGTTATTCTAACAGAAGAGGCTATACTTCTTTAAAAGGCTGAAGAGCAGGAAATATTAGGGATTAAGGGATATTCAAGGCACTTTCATAATTTTGTCTTATATTAAAGACATAAGACAAAAAGATAAAGACCTAAAGATAGATTTTTAAAAATTATTTATGTATTTATTTTAATTAGACTCCACACCCCACGTGGGGCTTGAACTCATGACCCTGAGAGCCAGCCAGACACCCTCCAAAATGGATTTTTAAAAGAAATCCCTTTTTCTTCCTTTAATTTTAGTCTACTTGTGTTTCCAAAGGTAGTGAAATCACCTTTCTGCCTCTTGAGCAAAAATAATAATAATAATAATAAAAAACATTATCAATTGGCTTGTGAATGTTAATCATTGAAGAGTTCAAAATGTGCTTAAATCATCTTCTCAATAGAGGTTAGAACTCCAGAATGGTATTACTCGAACTGTGGCCCCCAGACAGCTGGTCTGTGAATTCTTCGATACCAAACTACACAGCAGGATCATGTGTTGGCCTGTAGTAGGTTGGAAACCTCAAAACTGGTCTTTTACCACAGATAGTTTGAAAATTATTGTTCTAGATCAAGAGTTGAAGACTAGAAATTATCAAGGACCAGAAACACTTTTCTTACCTGAAATGGAAATATTAGCTGTTGTTTAAAAGGAGGGATCTTCGCAAATGGGAAACCTAATCGATTGTGTAGAAGGTGTACTTTGCAAGGAGTTAGGTTTGATATTTTTGCTCTGTTGAAGTTATTTCTGATGGTGTTTTTTTTTTTTAAAGATTTTATTTATAAGTAATCTCCACACCCAACATGGGGCTCAAACTCACAACTCTGAGATCGAGAGTTGCATGTCTCATCAACTGAGCCAGCCAGGCACACCTAAATTATCTCTGGTGTTTTAATGTGACTTTTCTACCTCCCAGTTCAACTTCTGTGCCCACTTTCTTTGGTAGAGCAACCTCTTCAGTGACTCCATGACTTAATCACATGGCTGGGTCCAAAGTAAACACATTTACACTAGCAATTTCACTTTAGGACAGTGACTTTCAACTGCGGGTGATTTTGTCCCCCAGAGGACATTTGGCAATGTCTGGAGGCATCCTCAACTGTTACAACTCAGGGCAGGGTACTGCCGGCAGCCGGATGAGGTTGATGTTCAACATCCTACAACGCATAGGATGGCCCCTTATAACAAAGGATTTTCTACTCCAAAATGTCAGGAGTACCAAGGCTGAGGAACCTTACCATCAGATAAAGTTGGATTTTTAAAATGACCTTTAATGAGTGAACTTAATTTTGTGTTATGTTTTAGGTTACCTTTTACCTTCATAATATTTAGTAGGCCCTCATGCTCCCACAAGTCTTGGAAAAGAGTGGAATTAGTAAAATCAGGAGCTGAGGCTAAATTGTTCATAACTTGCCTAAGCTCTAATTAGGTTTGTGATGTAGAAACTTAGAAATTCTAGGAACACCTGGGAGGCTCAGTTGGTTAAGCGTCCAACTTTGGCTCAGGTCATGATCTCATGGTTCATGCGTTCAAGTCCCGTGTCAGGCTCTGTGCTGACAGAGCTCTGTCTCTCAAAAGTAAACATTAAAACAGAAATGAAGGAAGGAAGGAAGGAAGAAAAGGAAGAACGAAAGGAAGAAACTCTGATCTGATTCATACTCCCAGAACCATTACTAGGTTCTTGTCATTTTAGCACATTTTATTTTATTATTATTTCTTTTAATGTTTATTTATTTTTTGCGAGAGAGAGAGAGACTGAGCATGAGCAGAGGAAGGGCAGAGAGAGAGGGAGACATAGAATCTGAAGCAGGCTCCAGCCTCTGAACTGTCATCACAGAGCCTGATGTGGGGCTTGAAGTCACAGACTGCGAAATCATGACCTGAGCTGAAGTCAGACGCTTAACCAACTGAGCCACCCAGGTGCCCCTATTTTATTATTTTTTTTTAAAGTTTATTTATTTATTTTGAGACGAGCGCACGCATGCACATGAGCGGGGAAGGGGCAGAGAGAGGTAGAGAGAATCCCAAGCAGGCTCTGTAGTGTCAGCACAGACAAACTGTGAGATCATGACCTGAGCCGAAATCCAGAATGGAACGCTTAACCTACTGAGCCACCCAGGTGCCCCTTATTACATTTTACAGTAGCAAAATTACTGGGAGGAAAATGGAACATGAAGCTTAATATTTAAATTATTCTTTCTGGGGCACCTGGGTGGCTCAGTCGGTTAAGCGTCCGACTTCGGCTCAGGTCATGATCTCACGGTCCGTGAGTTCGAGCCCCGCATCGGGCGCTGAGCTGACAGCTCGGAGCCTGGAGCCTGTTTCAGATTCTGTGTCTCCCTCCCTCTCTCTCTGACCCTCCCCCGTTCATGCTCTGTCTCTCCCTGTCTCAAAAATAAATAAATGTTAAAAAAAATTAAAAAAAAAAATTATTCTTTCTGTAATGTCTCAGATTGTTGCATTTCCAATTGGCTGTTTCGAGTTTGTATGCTGACTTTAGTACTAACTGGACCACTGAATTCTATCACTTTTAATGGAGATAATCCCTTTATTTAGACTATCGAATCATAAACTATCCTCTGTTTTAAATTTATGTTCACAGTTAGCGGTCAGTATTTATAATTGCACAGTGTCTTTGGGGTGTAATTAATGGGGCTGGTGACATCTCTATAAGTAAATTAATAGTTGGGTCCAACACAGACCATTAATGATTTATTTTATATCTGGCGTCTTTCTGGCACCCTCTTCTTCCCCTCCTCCCCCTCCTCCCCCTCCTCCTCCTCCTTCTTTTTTTTTAAATATAATTTATTGTCAAATTGGTTTCCATACAACACCCAGTTCTCATCCCAACAAGTGTCTTTCTGGCACATTCAATCCAAGTTCACAAAGAGATTATTTGTCTTATGTTAGATACATTGCATGGACAGTAACAGAATTCTTATTGGTAATGGAATTTAAAAATGGCATCCATGGGAAGTTGTTTCTTTTGGGGGAAAGGGACAGACCTTCATAGCAAGGGTTGGAAAGGAATGTAAATGAGGCTTGTATCTGTAATAGACTAAGAAATGACATAGAGCAATGGGACTTCTGGTCATTTGGTAGATAGATGCCATTTTGATGTAAATATTTTGGTGGTCACTACATTTGGAATATTCCTTGAGAAAACTACTGACCTGGTGGTTTGCAAAATATTGTGAAATTGAGTATTCTGGGGGTTCAGAATACACGATGGGTTTTTGTTGTTGTCATTAATTGATGTTGTGATAAACTGCTTGGGGAAAAAAGCCATGTGTATGGCTGCATGTGCTGATTCTGAGGGCAGTGGGAAGACTGGAGTGGCCTTTGGTCAACTGAGTTCATTGGACTTATAAGTTTTTTTATGTGTTTCTTGTGCATTGATAATAGAATGACCTCTGTGAAGTCTAGTGTCATGGGGTGGGAGGGGCAAAGGGTTGGGGTGTGTGAGAAGTTCCTATTGCACTCTGTTTTGAGCAGCACCACTGTACTTCCTGTCGTTGTTCGTCTCTTGTAGCTTGCTTTGTGCTTTCATGTGGCTGTGCTGTCTTCCAAGTCCAAAAAGGGGCACTTGATTCAGTTGCTTATGATGGACAATGTTTTCATGGATTTTTATTCAGTATTTCTGCTACATATGACTGTGCTCCTCAAACGTTTCATTGTAGTGTGGAAAAATTGAATTCTTTTCTTCAGATAATGCTTCTAGAGGGAGAAATGAAAAGGTGTTTTTTTTCTTTTTTGTTTGTTTGTTGTTGTTGTTTTTTTTTTTTTTTTGGCAGGAGGAATTTGGTTGGTTCCTAACACGCCCTAGTTTTAAATAGTGACAGTAACTCACACTATTGTGAT